TAGATAAGATGAGGTTGTGACATAATTAAACAAATAAGCTCTGCAAACAACGCACTTTGAAAACAATTTAATGAATATGTTACTGGAAAAAAATGCAAGGATTAAAAAGGAGGACATTTTCTGGCAAAAGGAGGATAAAGAAAAATTATTGAAAAAGGAGGACATGTCCTCCATTAGGATACTATATGGTAACCCTAGTGTGGAGGAGGATGATATAGAGATCGGCTTCAGAAAAGACGGAGTGAAGTTGATACTGTGGGGTTCCACCGGTTTTGTCGAGCTGGTTTCCGGATCCATCTTCGGTTTTGCCACTTTCAGGTCGTTTTCTGTTAAGTTGAGCAAAGCTGCACAGCAAAAAAAAATGTAATATCGATCAACGTAATTCAAGCTGATGTATGAAATAATGATGTAATAGCAAAAAGCAGATACAATATTACATCAATGGATGTAATTTTGTTCGCAAAATCGATGTACATCGTACAATGTGATATTACTAAACCGATGGATTGACCTGGTTGCAGCAGTTTCGATGTAATATTCAACAACTTTTTTTGCTGTGTGGGGCAACTTTTTCCGGATAAGGCATTTTACGAGACAGATCGAGTCAGCTGATTTTATTCTGTTTACTAATTTTGACATTTACTGGCGGGCCGAATATCTTCATTCGCAATACACGGCCATCAAAAGTGACTCACGGAGTGTGTTTAGCTTGCTTACTTTTGGGTAAATCCGTGGCAAGCCCATACACTCGTGAGTTACTTTTGTTGGCCGTGTAGAGAATCAAAACAAAAATTATCAGACGTAAACAATAACAATGCCACGAGCGGCCCGCCAGGAACTGTCATCAAAACGTCTCGTAAAATGGCTTATGTAACAAGAAGGAAATAAAAAGGCATGACACGCTAAAAACCATTTACCCAAATCCTATATATATTGTTGAAATAAACATGTTTTTGAATTTAATTCAAACGTAAATATTTTAGTTTAAAACATGCTTTCAATTTACTTTGAATAATTCATATGTATATACCCTAAATTCATATATATGTATATACCGTAAATACATTTATACTTTTGGTTTGATTTACGGTTTAGTGACTTTGCAGTAAATTTAATTGTTTATGAGAAAGTTTGAACATACTGAGAGGTAAGCACATATCATCGGTAAGAGACGTGTGTGTGAGAAAATTTGCGAAAAAATCTAAGGGCACCGGTGGGATTCGAACCCACAATTCCCATTCAGTACACGGGTGCATTGCCAATTATACAACGGTGGATCTATGGATTGTGGGTTCGAATCCCACCGGTGCCCTTAGATTTTTTCGCAAATTTTCTCACACACACGTCTCTTACCGATGATATGTGCTTACCTCTCAGTATGTTCAAACTTTCACATAAACATTTATATTTTTGTTTTAAATGAACAAAATTCGTATCCATGTGATAACGACTATGATAATAATAAAATCAGTTTCCAGTTGTTCTAGCCTCGGGAAGAAGTGCATGGGAATAAACGCACCGTCATTGCAGCATTGTCGATGAAACACCGGATTTTGGCTCACGATCCCCGTTCCAATCAGCTCTAACTGCTCCACGCTCAGTTTCAAAAATTCCAATACGCAAAAACACATGTTCGCAAGAAACTTCACAATTTGTTAAACACGGGAGCAACATTCAAACACGTCACTTCTTCAGCGCGACCTACTTCGATCACCAAAAAAGAGAACTCTCACGTACTAATGGGAAAAATTCATCATGCGAAATTTTTCTATCATAAATCCCGCCTTGTTGTGCGCCCACCTTTGCGAGAGAGTCTGCCTTCTCATGGCCTGCACTCTGAAAAATATTCACGTTCAATTGACGTAAAAACATAGGTGGTTTTCGTCCACCCTACACATTTAAAAAAAAACATGTGAATTTAGGTGCTCTCAGACTGACATATACGAGCGTCATTTTTGACATAAAATTGAGTCGTAATAGACGCAAAACTCAGCTCAATCAAACGTACTTTTCGTCGAGTACCGAACTTTTCAGTCTCGGAGCACTTAATTTTGTATGACATGTTTGTTTACGTCTCATCCTTTATGTCAAAGATGGATTCCGTCACGTGTAAAATTAGGTATTTCTAAGTGTGTATTTTTCACGTAACTTTTACCGGAATTGCACGTAGCCGATCGAAATTCAGCTTCAATTATCTACGTGATTAGTCAGGTAAATAAGACCTGATTTCCACGTACTGCTTACGTGAAATCGGGGTGAAAACTACTGGATATCTGGTAAGTTTTACGTGACATTCCGTTTTGTTTAAAATGCTTTTCATGTAATTTGTACGTGAATTTTTAATGAGAATAATGGGAAGTATATATAGAGGCAGTCAATATTATGCAATTTTATCGGGAAGATATAAATTTCACGTGTTTAAATTTATACTTATTCTACTCATAAAATTGTAAAATATTGACTAACTGATTATTTTAAGGTAGAAACGTGTATGAGTTTTTTTTTATTTCTGACAAAATATTAACACCTGTTTGCATCAGACTCAAAATGCTGATGCCACCGTCTGAAATTATAAATCTAGAAAAAAGTTACACTTAATCACAGACAAACAGACGTAACTCTTTGAATAAAATTATCTTAAAATCGTAGTACCACTAAACATAGGACTGCAGTAACGACATCTCGCGGGCTTCTCGCGGGCTTCTCGCGGGCTTCTCGCGGGCTTCTCGCGGGGTCCCGCGGGCTTCTCGCGGGGTCCCGCGGGCTTCTCGCGGAAAACAAGCATGCTCGCTGATTTGCAAACAATGTTGCATGCAAGAAAAACCGAATATAGAAATGTCAAAGCGATCCGATGCCAGCGCTGCGGCAAACCAGTCGTTAAATGCGCAAACGATGATCCAGAATGAAGAGTTACGTCTGTTTGTCTGTGATATAATCATAAATAACTTAATGTAAAAGAATCTAATTACCGTTCAACTGCTGAGAAATTTTGAATCTTTGAGGAGTTCTTCCACCACGCTCGGTAACGCCATATTGATTTTTTTGCGTACCTGAAAATCACGTAAATCTCGTTTCGCGGAAATATCGAAGTCCCAAACACACAAACGGACGTGAAGATTTTTTAGACTGCAGTGTTATACTGCCTATAATCGCATATCAGTCCCATATGGATAGGAAATCAAGCAATATATATATTCGGTTTTTCTTGCATGCAACATTGTTTACGAATCAGCGAGCATGCTTGTTTTCCGCGAGAAGCCCACAAGATGTCGTTACTGCAGTCCTATGTTTAGTGGTACTATGATTTTAAGATAATTTTATTCAAAGAGTTACGTCTGTTTGTCTGTGGTTTTAGTGTTATAGCGAATTCTTTTATTATCGAGGTTAACACCAGTTCCAACCCAGTGCGAAACCGAACTTTTTGTCAGTGTGAACCTCAACCTGAGCTAGGTTTTAAAATCAAACGAGCAAACTGATGTTTGTCAGAAAACGAGCAGACCCAATCTTGATACCCGATCCAGGTTGGAACTGAATAACTCTTCCTCTAATGAAGTCGACGCCATATTGAATAATTTTTTCATACATGTAAATCACGTAAACCCATTTCACGTAAGCACTTTCATCATCAGCTCCAGTGAACATTACACGGTATGTTTGTCAATTTCACTACTATCATGTAAAGATGGAAGTTGAAGTAATCGAAATGGCTACTTGATTTTTCACGTAGGTTGAACGTGTATACTTTGTAGAGTGTACTTGCTAATCACATTCCTTTTTACGTGAAATTCCCGTAGTATCTACCGACATGAAAATCACGTAAGTTTTATCAAAATTCCATTTGACTTTGATCTGCGGCACGTGAAAATGATTGAAGTGGGGTGTTTGAGGGGTTACGTGATTTTTCACGTAGCATCAACGTGAAGATTTTTTGGAGTGTGGGATTGAGCAATGTTAGAGGACCCATACAAAGGTTATCATAATATGATATTATATGATCTTTCGACCAGCAAACTCATCTGCTCCCTTACCTTTTAAAAGGAAATAAGATGATTACTTCCTGTTTTCATCGACCGAATAGCCTCAATCGAACTGAGACTATCCGAGAAGATGAAGTAATGGTCTATGGGCATGTCGGAAATTATGCGAAGTTGATTGCTGCCAGCTCAGCAACATAAACGGAACAAGGTTCCTGAACTGTCCGAAAGGATAAAGGGTCACAATCAGCGATTTTATGATCGCCGAGTGAGTGAATGAAAATTTATAAAACCACTGATTGCTAAATTGACAGGTTTTATGTGTTAAATATAGGGAAATGTGGGACAAGATGGGTCAGCTAGTACATTTATTAATTTATTTGTTAATCGCAACCCCAATGATGGTTTGCTATTTCCAACCAGCATTGGGGCTACTTTGAGCCAGTTGATATTGACAATCTGAAATATAAATAATTCAAGTAGATGGCTCACCTTCTTGATGTATCTTGTAATCTTACAAATAAAAAATATGGTCATAATACCTAATGATCTCATAATTCCAAAAATCCTTTTAGGGGTCGTCCATTAATTATGTCACACTTTTAGGGGGGATGGGGGGTTTTGGAAACTGTGACGAGTCATACAAAAAAAAATTAAGTTCCATACAAAATATGTGACAAAGGGGGGAGAGGGGGTTGAAAATGGACTAAATTTGCGTGACATAATTAATGGACCTTCCCTTAGCTGAAATTAGTATTTGCAACGATTCTGCGGAACAACATGTTGCATTTCTGTTTTTGTTTTTAAATTTAGGTTCTGGTGGTCCAGCTTCAAAAGATGCGAGTGTTAATACAATTGTGATGAGTAACAGAAAAAATGTTTCATTTTTACTCTTATAACTTATTCTATAGTTGAATTCAAATTTTGGGACGCAATCAATCAGGACCCGATTTTGAGCCGTTTGAACCCTATGCACCAGAGTCAGGCCAAGAAATGTAATTGTAAAACATGACAAAACCGACTTACTTGACAAACTCGGTATCAGGAAGCTGAAGCACGGGAAGCGGCTCGCTATGCATCTTCTTGATGGCATCGACCATCTGTAAGGTCTTCATTACCACATCTGGGCTGGAAAGATAAACTCAACTTGAATAACTGCCACATTCTACCGAGCACCACTGACTGTATTCAAACATTACCTCGTCTCCTCTGAAGCCAGTTCGAATGTTTTCTGTATGACCAGCTCCACATCCTTCTGCTGTCGCATTGTAACGACCTTAACCGGTGCCAAATGCTGTTTTATCCGTTCATCCTTGTCCTCTTGTATCTTTTCGAACATCGTGTCGATAGCACCGGTCAGGTCGTTCAGTAATGTCCCATGATCTAAGTGCATATCACTTTCCCGGGACGCTATTCTCGCCCCGGCCCTGCTCAGTGCAGCTAATCTATCGACCAGAAAGGTGTTCTCTTTGGTGATCACGGCTTTCAGCTTCTCGCGAGCATCATCCAGTTCCATTACCTCGTCAATATGCATGCGGTGCTGAGCATGCAGAATGCATTTTAAGCAAACACACTTACTGCATTTCTGACAAAACAATAGCAGTTCTTTGTTGTGCTCTTCGCAGACGCTCACAGGCTTGGTCAGCAGCTGGATCAATTGTTCCAGATTTTCTTGCAGTCTTTCGATTAGCTCGCGTACCTCCTGATAGACGCGACAGTAGGTGAATTGAGTGAACGTTACCTTCGCCTGGCAGCATGGGCAGCCTTTCAAGTAGATCGATGCCCGCGATCCACCGGTATTGAACCACCGATCGATACAATCGGCACAGAATAGCTTCGAACACTGCGGACAATGGATTGGATGATCCACGTTGATTGCATTATGGCAGATGGCACAGGCAAATAGCACATCCATGTCAATCTGATCGTTGAGCCACGCTTTGGCAAGTATTTTTCGCTGCTCCGTCGTCGAAAGGCACAAACTATCGTTCGATGCCATGGCTCTTAATATGAACGTAATATACAAGTCAGGAAATTAATTTAAGTAACAATCATACAATTTCACTATTGATTTTAGCCCACCAGATGGATGATCTCTTACGCTGCACTGATCTAGCACAAAATGGTCACACAAACACCCAAGTGGTTTCTCAATAGCCCTTTTGTGGTACTCAAGCGTATGTTTGTCATCTAATGATCATTGTAACTTTAGCGGTCTACTGGTGGGGAGATTTTAGTGAAATAATATTTACTCGCGATACCGATATGATTTTTTCCCAGGACACATTATAAATACGGTTTTACTTTTATCCGGTTATGGTGACCAGTGAACGATGAATCGGAAAAAAAACGGGAAAAAGCCGGGAATTTAGAAGGAATACTTTGACCTCTCATCGGAAAAAAAATAAGATTCTGGTCCTTGGAATCTCTTTCAGACCTTGGACTGGAATGGATTTTCAGGATTTTGTCAATTTTCAAGAATAAGAAGCATTTAAAAGAAATTGTTCAAGAAAAAGAAGCATTTAAAATAAGTTCTTAAGCTAATATTATGGTATTTCGGAATTAGAACCAAGGGAGTTTCTACTAAAGATAGGGGATTTACGTATTCTCGTTTACAAAGCTGAATTAATTAGTTGAGAAAAGTGATTCATGTGCACTATTATAAAGCCTCTACTCAGCGATCTTGACAAACCTTTGCTTCTAACAATTTTACGGATTTCCAGTTTGTTTAAATTTTCCGCAAATTGTCAACGATTAAGGATCTTATTTAGCGGAATTTTGATTACAACTTGATTTCAAATGATTACAAGATTTCATAAACAACGCTGGTTTAATAAGTCTTATTATTAGAAAGACTTTCTGCTGAAGTTCATCACACAAAAAATAATCGTTACTAAAATTAAAAATACCATGGGTAGAATTAAAAGTTTTCGTTGGTTCTTTTTGGTAGAAAGTTCGAAGCATGCATCATAAAAATGTGTTAACTGTCAAATCAAAAGTTTAAGTCCTCGTTAAATTCAAAAGTTGAAGCTTTTGAATCAAATTGTAGAACTGTCAAAAGGAAAACCAATGTTTTTAAAATGAAGTACGAACTGTTTCAATTCAAAAGGAGTCGTTTTTATCATGACAATATATGTTTTTATCTCAAATTTGAAATATTATCAGATTAATAGTTTTCCAGATTTAAAAAAGTACCCAAACTCATATTTGAATGATTTTTTTTAAATAATGTTTATTGATATATTTTCGAGTATATTTTATAAAAAAAAAAAACAAAACAAAACAATACATAGTTAAAATTACCATTGCAAATTTTGTCCTGTCCAAGGAATCAAAGGAAGGTATTCGGTCCAACCTCGGGTCGACGGCAATTTCGGAACTTTCCTCTTGCTTGCATCGTTCAAAACGGCATTCTTTACGAGGTCTTCCTGCTGGAGCTACATTGTTCTCCATGATCTGACAATATAGAATCTACAAAAACAAAAATACAGCCTTTGAAATACAACCATTGCATACCACAAAATTGGGACACTCACCATAGAAATATCCAGCAGAATGATGAAGACAGAAAATCCTTGTCATCAGCAAAGGAACGCCACCCACCACGGGAATTGACCACCACCCGGGAATTGACCACGTACCTACGATGTAAAAACAAATTTAATCGATCCCTCGTTTCCTGTTGCAGTGGCAGAACCACCATCGATTGCCACTTATCGTCACTGGAGGCAGCTTTCGAACACCGATTCCACCGTAAACTGCTTTTTTTTACCTCCGTCTCGTCCACTCATATTCAATTTTGGCGGAAAATGAAGTGGGGTTGAGAGATCGGTTCAGTGCTGCCAAAAACTTTACTATTAAGAGGTATTTGTGACAGCTGAACAACTTTTATATAAACATAATACACTTTTAAAATAACAAGTCAGAAGTGAAAGAAAAACTTTCAAACCAAAGATATAACTTTCATTTTGAAAATTTTCCTGTTAAAACTACGAAATTTGAGAAACTTTCATTTTGAAAATGCATTATTTTATAGCAACAATTTTTGTTTTTTGTGTGTAGGAACTCCCTAAAGTTCGTAGAACTTCCCTGAAGCGTTAAGGTCTTTCCTGAAGGGTTCATTGAAGTTTGTATTGCCTGAATTTCATGGAACTTCCCCGAAGTTCGAAGGACTTTTTTTAAGATCTTAGGACTTCCCCGAAGTTCGGAGTTTATTGAAATTCATAGGAATTTCTTAAATATCGTAGAAGTACCACGAGGTTCGTAGAAATTCTCAGAAGTTCGTAAGACTTTCTTCAAGTTCGAAGAACCGAAGAACTTTCTCGAAGATCTGAGGATTTTCCTGAAGTTTAAAGGCTTAACTGAATATATGAGGACCCTAAATTTAGAAGAGCTTCCCTGAAGTTCATAAGGCTTTAAATATCGAAGGGTTTTCCAAAAGTTTGTGGGTCTTTCCTTAATTTCTTGGAAATTCCCTGAAGTTTGGAGAGCTCCATGAATTTCGTAAGACTACCTGTAATTCAATTAACTTCTCGGAAGTTCTAGGAACTTTTTTGAGCTTTGAGAACTATGTCAAGTTCAGAGGACTTCCCAAGAGTATTGAAGACTTCTGTGAAGCTCGGAAAAATCCATAAGTGTCATAGGATTATTTTTAATTTTTTTTTTTTTTTTATATCTTTATTAAGGAGACTTTCAGCCGTTGGTCATAGGATTATCCTTAAGTTTTAAGCAATGCCTAAATGTCGTAGAAGTTTCATTAAATCTGTAGAAAATTCTGTAAAAATTCGTAGTTATTCCCCAAAGATTAAAGGACTTCCCTGAAGTTCGTAAGACTTCTCTGAAATTTGTAGAACTTCTCTGAAGGTTCGGAGAGATTTCCTGACCGTCGTAGGTCATCACTGTAGTTCACAAGGTTTTCCTGAAACTTGTAAAACTTTCCCGAATTTTGTAGAACTTGCATGAAGTTCGAAGGCCTCATCTGAAGTTTTTTACAAATAGAACTTTTTTATTGAACAGTAGTTACGCGTCGGCACTGCTTGAGTCTGATATCAATCAAGCACAAATCTAATATTTACTAAATTCTCAGGGTAAATTTTGTTCATCAATGTTTAGTTGTGTGAAAGATTTAGCTTGAACAAAATGGTTAGTCTTGACCTGATTGTAAAAAGAAACTTTTACATACATAAAATTTAAAACCTATTTACATTATACAAACAAGATTATTTTCCTGGTGGACTTTTAAAACTCCTGGTTTTTTCCCGGTTTTTCCTGGTGAAAATAAATTCCCGACTTTTTCCCGGTTTTCCTGGTTCACTTGCCACCATGCCGACTTGAAAACACGCCCTAACACTCCGAATACGATGCCTCCGAAAAACGTGTAACGGCAAGTTTACAATAGCATAACTTAGCCATGTCTAGATTAATTTCAAAAATTGTGGTACTTCTAGAATTCCTAGAGCGTGTCATTATTTTGATTGTAAAAAATATTAAAAATAGGGTCGTCTACTTTGATGAAAATCGAAAAGAGTCTTATATCACAGTTCCACGTGTTTTCGAAAAAATCGCGGAGCTCTAGGATCAGTTTCATGAAAGGACCACTTTTACGGATGTTTTGGATTTTCCGGAGGATGGCCCCATAGCCATCTGGGACCATGTTTATGTTACGACCCCTAATTATTTCTTATATCACAGTAAAACGTGTTTTCGAAAAAAAAACCGTGGATCTCATGAATCAGTGTTATGGATCGACCATTTTACGGACGTTTCAGTTCTTCTAGACGTCGATCCCAGGACCATGCAGGTACATGTTTATGCCATGACCCCAAATTCTTATATCACAGTTCCTAATGTTTTTGAAAAAAAAAACTGCGGAGCTATAGGATCAGTTTCATTGGTTGACCTCTTTTCGGGATGTTACAAACCTACCAGAGGACGGCCCCATGACCATCCGGGTCCAGGTTTATGTCATGACCCCAAATTCTTTATTATATCACAGTTTCAAATGCTTTCGAAAGAAACGTAGAACTCTAGGATCAGTTTTGTGGATTGACCACTTTTACGGATGTTCCGGATCTTTCGGAGGACAGTCTCATAGCTATCAGGGTCCATGTTTGTCAGGACCCCAAATTCATTCTAACATCACAGCTATTAGTGTTTTTCTAAAACTTCGGAGCTCTAGGATCAGTTTCATGAATTGACCACTTTTACGGATGTTTCGGATCTTCCGGAGGACGGTCCTATGGCCATACAGGTCTATTTTTATGCCATGACCCCAAATTCTTTCTTATATCACAGGTCCTAATGCTTTCGAAAAAAAAACGCGGAGTTCTAGGATCAGTTTCATAGATTCACCATTTTTAAAGATGTTCCAGATCTTCCGCAGGACGGTCCCATGGCCTTCTAGGTACGTGTTTATGTCATGACCCCTAATTAATTTATATATAACATTTCCAACTGTTTTCGAAAAAACCGTGGAGCTCTAGGATCAGTTTCATAGATTGAACACTTTTACGGATGTTCCGGATCTTTCGGAGGACGGTAAGATGGCCATCCGGGTCCATGTTTATGTCATAAACCCAAATTATTTCTTATATCACAGTTCCTAATGTTTTCGAAAAAAAACCCCGAAGTTCTAGGATCAGGGGTTTATGAATAGGTCTAAATCTCAAGTTTAGATGCTCAACAAATCTCACACTAGCGAATCAATCTTCGAAATATCTTCTTTCATTTGTCGCATCTACTTGCAGCGCTCATCATATTTTTGCAGGAAATCTTCAGAATCGTCATCAATCTTCTTTCTATCTACTCAGTGTGCGCGCAGCTAGCCACAGCAAAACACAATCTTTTTTGCATTTTAGATAGAGTCGTCCCCCTCGGAATAGACCACTTTTACGAATGTTCCGGATCTTTCGAGGATCGTTCCGTTATCTCCAGGTTCCATATATAAGAACCATGACTGTACCATAGAGGTAACTCTAAGACTAGAAGGTCCCGAAATAACGTGCTCAACTTTTTGGCTCAGCTCTGGTACTCTCTTCGGTCCCAAGCTAATCGAATCACCCCTCGAAACATAGGAAAAACCAATAACCCCTCATTTTATCTGTCAAACTTTCATAGCGAATCAAAACAAACATTGCGTAGTACTAGAATTTCGACTAGAATAGGGTACGTTAATCGTTTGCTTGGGACCAAGAGGCTACTAAAGTGGTGAGCCAATTTAAAATCGTTAGTTTCGTATTGATTGTTGACTGTACCCTGGCTAATTATGAACATTTGTGACCATTAATCTAAATTATGGATCTTAACCCACTTGCAAAACCCATAAACTTCTTCTTCTTCTTCTTCTTCGCATTTCAAGCTTATTGCTTATCGCATATTAGCTTATTGCGTGCTCTCAACTTAAGGCCGGCGCACAATAGATACGTTTTCAAGTTTTTTGACAGTTAGCCCATGCATTATCTGTCAAAAAACCCGAAAACGTATGCATTGTGCGCCGGCTTTTAGTGTTCTAGATGCACTTCCACAGTTGTTAATTGAGAGTTTCGATGCCTGTACCATTTTTGCATTGATATGATTGTGTGGCAAGTCCGATCATACTTCTATGCCAGTCGAGAAATTTTCCAACCCGAAAAATTCCTAGACCGAACCGGGAATCGAACCCAGCCACCTCCAGCATGGTCTTGCTTTGTAGTTGCGCCTTTACCGATTGAGCTAAGGAAGGCCCCATGAACACACACCTTATATCCCGTTCACATTACTGCGTATATCACGTGATATACGCTGTCTTGCAATGAGCACTCATACATCTAGTTTTCACTGGAAATCCTATGTATGAGTGCTCATTGCAAGACAGCCTATATTACGTGATATAGGCTGTAATGTGAACGGGGTATTAAAAAAACGTGTAACGACCCTATTTTCTATCTTTCTGCAATTACAATAATCTACAGAGCCTAGGAATTCTAGAGGTACCACAATTTTTGAAATTCATCAAGAAATGGCTAGGTTATGTCATTGCAAACTTGCCGTTACACGTTTTTCGGAGGCTTCGCAGTCGGCGTAAAGTATTTTACCCACCGTATTTGGAGTGTTAATAAATCCTTTGATAAGCCCCCTGTGCCCTAGAGCTAAAAGAGAATGGTCGCATTACCTTGACAACTAGCCTTTCCGGTCACTCTGTAACTCTTAACTCCTATGGTAAAATCCCATTAGCAAACGTCAGTCTGTTCGAGAAACATGTTAGACATTACCTTACCCTTTCACTCCAGTGAAACATCTCATAAGATCCTGTTAATCTGTGCATGAAGAGACGGTGGCTCGCTGGTACCATGAAGAAATAATACAAAATCCGCTAGACTTTGGGATTTTCCATAGGAGCAAAGAGTTAAAAAGCCACCGTCAACGTCAATACTTACACGTTATTTAAAAACTACTCAAATTTGGGTAGAATCCTCCCAGATCGGTCACAACCAGCGAATCCAAACACATAAAGCAACCAACGATGCAGACAAAACGGTTGCTACGACTACCATGACAAACTCGCTCTGTAACATAGCTCGATCCGAGTGGTAGAAGAATAATGATATATTGCTTGCCTGCCTTGTTGCAATATACACGGATGAGGACATAGCTTGATATGAATCGAGAAAAGACATAACAAAAAAATTTCCATTAACACACGTATCTTCGGCTTTACTTCGTGAAGCGGCTTGTCAACAATTTGCTCGTTTTCTTCTACCGCCCCGAGTGAGTTGTGTCACATGGGCTGCTTGTCATGAAAAAGAAGGAAGATTATATCATTATTGCTTTCCACTTCTGACATAGCGTTATTATTCGGTTCGTTGATCGCTTGTCATTTGGAGATATTTTTGATTCCTTGGTCACAACTGAACACACTCAAAATGGGTAAGCTATGTTGGGAGTGACAAGCTGACACATGAGCAACATTGACATGGATCCGACCGACTTTGTTCAATTGTTAACCTGTCACTCCCAACATAGTTTACCCATTTTTTGATAGATTCAGCTTTGACCGATCAGGGTGTATTTTACTCAAATTTGGGTAGTTTTCAAATAGCGTGTATAAGGGCCAATGTCACAAACGTAAACACTGACTTTTCCACGAATTTCTTGAGAATGAAAACTCGCTCAAGTAAGCCACCACGATGTTTGTGTATAGGGAAAGTCCCCATAGCTGATAGAATTGCTGGGAAGCCGACACCGGTGGTGTAGTGGTAAGCGTGACTGCTTTCTAACACCCCAATGGGTCTGGGTTCAATCCCCAGCCGAGGTCGGTGGGATTTTTCTGAGGCATAAAAATCTCTGGTCTTCCTTCGGAAGGGAAGTAAAGCCGTTGGTCCCGGCCCATGTGTGTTGGGATGTGAATGGGTGCGATATCCTACGCAGGTGTGGAAGCTGCCTTCCTGCACATTCGGTTGCTGTCAATCGATGGCAATCGATGTCCGTCGGTGATTGGCACTAGATTGCGGAACAGAGACCGACGTTAAATAAAGGAAAGGATGGATGGATGAAGAATTGCTGGGTTACATGGATTGACTTTGAATTACAAGATATTTACGGAAGAAGCCATTGCTTAAGTTTCCGACATTGGCCCATATAAAGACTCAGTGTCGAATCACGAAAATTTAATTTTGACATATCGATGTCTAACTATACCAGTTATACCACTGAGGAAACACAAAAAGGAGTCAACTTTTAGTCAGCAGTTTTGCATGAAGTTCCACATATGTTATGTGCAGGAGTGAATCCATTGTGAATATCATCCCATTGGCTACGTCTCTGTATGTGTATGCCATGTACCACCGATTACGACCAAGAGGCTGAGAAGTGCGTGTTATCCTCAACAGAAAACCAAAGAAATCATATATGGGGTTAAGCGACACATATTCGACCTTTCGAAAGATGATGACCAAGGAATCCTCAACGCCAAGGCTAAGGATTACGATGAAGTGATGAGCCAACTGAAGGAAAAATGCGCGGATCCGGAATTCATTCATTGGTCTGTACAAACAATCATGGATGAATTCAGTGTCAACAGATATAGGTACTGTAGCACAGGTAAGATTTATACAATTTTAAACACCATAAAGGAAAAATTAAAAGTAATTCCCATTTTCTTTCTTCACAGGTGAAAGATTTGGTCGAAGAAGATGGAATATTATGTTCCCCTCGTTCCACCAAAGCAGGCATGGACTGAGAGCAGAGTTAGTAGATACACTGCAAATAAACTTCACGTAATATTCACTGGAAAAGTTACATAGATATTTTCCATCGTACCTTTCAGGTGAATATTACGTGTTTTGGAAATGAAATCCCATTTAAGTGATACATATAAAAATCAAGTGATTTTCACGTAAATTTTATACCTACAGATGATATTCAAATTGGCAACACTTAAAAGCTACGTGAACTTTCAAGTAAGGTTCACAGGGTTTTATAGTTATATTTAAGTGAGTTTGTGGTAAATTTCAATTTATTTTTTCATGAAGTATATGAAGCCATTTAATTTAGTGACACATTTGTTTTTCAAATGTTTTATTAAAACAAAATTTGTAATTAATTGGTGGGCCACCTATTTCACGATTCCACTCGATCTACTGCCTGTTTTTTCCTCATCCTGGGCTGGAACTGCTTCTATAAGGACTCACGTTTTTTACTTTAGGAAAGGGCTTCAGTTTCTGGGAGCTCGATATTTTCATTAAGATCGCTGATTTCTGTATAAAAGAATGAAAAGCGGAAATTGATCATCGTTCTATTTTTTCAATGTAAACAGTTGATTCTTACCATTTATTTTAGCCAGATACTGATGATCTGGGAGCTTTAAAAAATCCCCCATTTGCAGGAATAATCATATAGCTCGCCAATTGAAATTATAAGTAGCCCAAATAATCTGATCCTGCATTCGCTATTTTATTTCTGGATTAATAAAAATGAAGATTATTTTCTGAATTCCAATGAAAGTTAAAAACTGGGCTGTCTGGCAATCCCAGATCTTCCAACAATGGGGAATGCCTATACTTCCTCTGTCACCATCTTGAACTTCGAGGTTACGCACAGAACATTTTCACACCATGAGATAACGTAAAATGTATGTGAATTTCACATAACCTTCACCAGCATGACACATGGACTCGACCAGTGAATCCAGTAAATTTCATCACTAAGTCGTTGAATTTTACGTATAGCATGTAAATCCTATTATATTCTTGGTTTTAAGAAGTCACCTGCATTTTCAGGTAATAGGCATAGGTTCAGTGTACAGTTGTGAAATTCAACGAATATGACGATATAAGCAGAGTTATGCCGGGCCAAAGAGATTATCACCCCTATTCTGTATTTCGTTTCGAACGAAATTCTCATACAAAAAAATATTTTTTTGAATGAGAATTTCGTTCGAAACGAAATACAGAATAGGGGTGTATGTGTCTGTAGTGACGGGTGGTGTTTCATTTGTTTGCTGAGATTCAGCTAAGCATTATCCGAGACTCAGCAATCAAATGTCACTTTTGCTGAGATCTCAGTGAAACTTATTTTTGCCGAGATTTGCACAACCGTGCTCGTTTTTCTACCTTTTTCTACTAAGTGTGCAGCATGGCATGCATATTTTTTTATTGTCTACATGCTTATCACTTAATTTTTACGTGAAATTCCCGTAGTATCAACCGACATGAAAATCATGTAAATTTTATCAAAATTCCGTTTGACCTGCGGCACGTGGAAATTATTGAAGAAAGATGTATCAGGGGTTTCGTGATTTTTCAACTAGCATCAACGTGATGATTTTTTAGAGTGTAGGAATATGTCATCAAACTAATAATAAGAAGTTGTTGCAGTAAATTACTAATTTCATGATCATAATTTATTTCTCAAATACAATTACTTCTGTTTTCTGTTCTGTTCTGCTCTTGACTCAAGATGTTCAGAATCGATCTTTTTTTATTTTTTTACCTTCAATTAGAAACTCATATAGATTAAAAATCAATGATCCTCCACGTCACTTGACAAAGTTATCCGCATTACATATTGTATGTCTTCCCATGCACGGCTACTAAATCTCTGTACTTCTTCTTCGTTTTCTTACCAATATAAGTCAATTAACCTCAAACTTTTCCACAACTCAAGGTGCGATGGAAAAACCTTTCCTAACGTTGTTTAAATTCAAGACTGATTAGTTTTTTCACGTTCTACCAAATGATATAACCTAAGTAAGCAAACGGCATTTGAAATGCTTTCACTCAATTTTGCAATTTAACACCGATTTCCTATGCTTTTCCCTCTAAAATCATTAAGTTTGGGATTTTGTTTGCCTTCATCGACACTGAGCGTGCAGCAATGCAATCACGGGTGTCAGTCAGTGCAGGTAAATTCTAGTTTCAATATTATCTAAACGGAAAAAAAAATCACGAAACACTTTCTAGTAGTACGATACAAGATGTTATTGTTGTTGTCATATTCTACGACGAAATTGAAGATCATTTGAAAGTTTTATTAAAGGATAGTAGGACAACGACAGACGACAGCAGCGATTGCAGTGAACGATGGTCGCACTATTTTTTTTTTTTTGTCGATTTGACGCTCCTAGACAAGACGACAATAATTTAACATAGAAAATATTTGTTTAATGGGTGTAGTTAATTAGGTTTAAAGAGCAACTTTATATCACGCTGAAAACTGATCAACCTTCATTCAGTCAAACTTAAGCTGTTGATTCCTGGTTGCTACGGTGCCTGGGAGGAGATAGTAAAATCAAGATAAATACCTACGTTCCTGTTGGATTTCCCCCGGAGGCCGGCCAAGATTAACAACGGGTTACGGGAATTATTTAAATTTTAAATTCTCACATTTCTGAAGCACATAACGCACTCGAAAGCATGTCCAACTAGTGAACCCACGTTGATGTTTTGTTTTACTATCCACTTCTATTTTAAATAGCTGATTCAATTACCTTCAAAAGTCTCACAATGTTAATAATATGCTCATGTGTGTTAGGTGTACGCGTGTTTGTGTCAGTGTTAGTTTTGTTTAAACGCTTTCTCTCTCGCTCTCTCAAAAGTATGCGTGTGAGTGAAGAGGTGTACAAGTGTATGTGTGTATGTGTGTGTGTGTTTGTCTGTATTTATTTCTGTTATCATTTTTCCCTAAGAAGTAAAGCTAGTCTACGGCTCGCGGCTCTAGGGTAAAACGTAACGCACGTAGGGAATTTCCACATCGTTTCCGTCGTCGTCGTTGCAGCAAATTTCGAACACGAGCGCACGGACATGCGGTTCGATGTTCTTCTTCGAGACGCGCCTCACTACTTCGGTCATGGTGAGGGCCAACCGTTCTGTCTTCTTGTCCTTGGCCATGAAGAAAGCGTATAGCATGCAAACGCCCTGCGAGAGCATCGTAATCTGCAGCTTGTGCTCACGCTCAAAGTAGTCCAGGAACTCCTTCAGGGTCAGCTCGCCACGCACCTCGAAGCGATCCCACAGTGTCCAGTCCTTGTCGTAGTAGGTCTGCTTCTTGGCCGGGATCGGCTCCGAGAAGGTGAAGAACGGCAAGGCCAAGTTGAGGAAACCATTCTTAAAGCGATCCAATGTGTTGAATCTGTTGAATAAGAAAAATCGACGTTGTATTTCCTGCACTTTTAGATATGTATCAAGATGATCAACCAACTCACCCTTGAGCAAGCTTGTACAGCTCCAGCGAAACGCAGCCGGCAACCAGCGAGGTGGTGGTGGCAATGGCTGGCATGATCTTGCCGGCAATCAGCTTGGACTTATGGCGATCGGCCGGTGGAATCTTGTAGTTGGCAGCACGCAGATTCGAGGCAGCCACGATGAAGTCCATGTGCAGATTGGAATCGTCGTCCTTTTCGAACTCCAGCGGAGTGATGGTGAAGTCCAGACGGCCCAACGAGGCAAGCTCCTTCTGTAGCCTGGTGATGCGGTCCTGATCGAGCTCTTCGCCGGACGCTCCATTGGCTTCCGCCTGCATGGCGGCATCCGTGACGGCAATCTTGACACCCGACCGCGGAACGAACTTTGGGACCTGGAGAACAACAATGGCATTGTTAGATGGTTTGAAGGGGTATAAACGACTTGTTACCCATAAAAGCATATCAGTCCCACGAGAAAAAAACAGCAAGCCGAGAAAAACCCTAATGAAAAGGTATTTATCCGTAGACCCTTATTGATGCACGACCAATGAGATCAACCCAAATTTGGGTAAAGTTTACTCATAATCGCGAATTTACTCATGTTTTCCCAGGAAAAAAATCCCGAATGAGGGAAAAGTAAAGATTGGATTCTATCAGTCTATTGGTACTACTTCTCTGCCGGTAATCGCAAGTCAGTCATATCTGCATTTTTATCAATTTTGAGTTAGCATCATTATTCAGTTTATCGTTCTATGTTTTTTGAGATATGCTATTGAAAAAAGGTGGTTTGTTCAAGAAAAACGAAAAACAATACCAAGTCAGATAGTCCCACAGCGAAAAGTAACCGCAAGTCAGTCCCATTAGAAAAAAACATGTTATAAATGTTGGACAACACATCGCATCATGAGATTTGTCTCGAGACAGATTTTGTCCACTTCTCCTATGGTATCTGAAACATGTCCGGATGTGGCCAATATAGTTCTTACGATACTCAGTTTGACAGTTTCTCATGTGATTTGATGTATCGCTTGATGGATTTTGATTTAAAAAGGATTTACCACTTCCCCGGGGATACCCGGCACATGTCCGGGTGTGGCCAACATGGTGCTGGTTACTCATCATGACTCTTATTGATCTTATTTTTGAATTCTCATGTGAATTGATTTATGGCATGGTGAGTTTGGCCTGTTTATGAAAAGCTCTGGTCTGATGAAGACCCATACTCACCAGAATATGTTCCGGCCATCAAATTCAGAAACATTCAATAACGTTCTATGGGACCATGGTATCTTTCTACTATTCAATACTGTGCTAAACTAATGCAGCATCGTCATGGAATCGTGACTGACTTGCGGTTATTTTTCTCATTGACGTTACATGTAATCGCAAGTCAGTCTCACTCAGATTTTGGCCATAAAATAAAAATTTCAGTTTCGTGATTATGAGTAAACTGAACTCAATTTTGGGTTGATGGCATTGGCCGTGTGAGATGACCAAGTTTTGGTATTTTTCACCATATTTTTTGAACAAAACATGTGACTTTTAGTGTATAGTGTAAAATACAGGTAGTTTACAATCGATTCTAATGGATAACCATTCCTGTTATAAATCCATATGGGACTGTTATGTTTTTATGGGCAGTGTACAACTCAGTAAATGGACTTCAGTCATTGACCTTCAACACGATTGTACTGCCCATAAAAGCATAACTGTCCCATATGAATAGGAAATCAAGCAAAAATGGGACAATTATGCGAGTATCGGCAGTGTACTTCTTGCTCAAAAATAGTGATTTTAGTAACTACGTTGAAGAACTAAGTGACCAAAGGCTTGTTCGCGACAAAATCTGAACATCCCTAATCTTCTGAAATATCTCATCAACGAGTAAAATATTTCGCTGAGTGGTGGACGTATGTCTGTTCTTTTTGAAAATTCAAGCTTATTCGAAAATGGCATCGAAAGAAGAGTAAGTCCGAAAAACAATTGTGTGCAACCGCAATGAAAATCCAGATATCTCGATCAGATAACTTGCCAAAAAGCTTGGTTTTTCTGCAAGCACTGTTCCCAGTATTTTAAAATCGTTCGATACACGTTTGACAGCAGCTAGGAAGACGGGAATCGGTACAAAAATGGATTTGAGGAACCCCCAGAAGGCCGTGAAGGTGAAACAAATATTACGGAGCAGGCCAGGGGTCACATTGCGAATCTCGAAACAAAAGAACTTTTGTACGAACGCTTGTATGAAAAAGTTGATCGTTTGGAGATGCGCAATGTGGCCCCAGATCTTTCGGTACATACTGTTGCTCGTAAAATAAAAATGTCACTGACTTTCGTGAATATTCCGAAGCATCGACAGGGAATGAAGTCATTCAAGATAAAACTGTGCCGAACCGTGATAAGCAAAATGTGACGGCTAAAACACGTGCTCGTAAGTTGTATCGCAAATTTTTGAAGAAATTTATTATTTGACTTAATGAACCGAATGGAGTCCATGTTTTACCGAAGGAGGCGAATCCACCTAACTGCCCGGAGTTACGTCCTATCAATCGATATTGGGCTCTCGTGAAGAGAGAGAGCTCTCGCATTGCAAACAACAACCAACAACTATGGAAAAACTCGACAATCTTGAACAACAGCAGCAAAACCGGTTGCAGAAAGGTCTGCACTGACCAAGGGGTAATCAACTCTGCACATTGTGCCGAAACACATCGTGGTACACTGATCGGCGGGTCATGGCACACGATGACAAGTATGACACAAAATATAATATAAAATGGCATCACTGTTTTGTGTTGACATTTTGCCAATCGTTGCTAAGGTTTACTTCTTCGTTTACTTCAAAGTAAGGGGGAAAGGGATTTTTGCAGTGCCATTTTCCAGCGAAATTGTCCCCAATCATGATAAGAGATTACATATTTCTAGATAAACATTTCAAAAGGTCCTATCTGCTTTGATCGATTCTCTTCGTCGACTTTTTCTTTTTGAAAACCACGGCTATGCAAACTGATTTCGGCTATGCAAACTGGGTTGAACATTCAGATCAGTTTGCCTCAGGATTCCCTCGCAATCTGTCCTTCCTTGCAGGATATCGGCCACGGTTAGGGCTCTGCTTGTGTCTCTTCTAGTCCGGAGAAGTTCTAGGTCGATATGTTGACAACGGCTTTCGTAAGTGGGTAATCGAAACGGATCATTCCAAGGCAATCTACGCAACGCAAAACGAAGAAAGCGACGTTGAACAGATTCAATTCTCTCGGCACCGTTATTGTAGTTTGGGTTCCAAAGCATCGATCGAACAAGCGAACAATAGAGAGATTTTAGACAGTAGATATCGGTGAAGTTTTTAGCTATCCTAAAAAGGAACCCTAAAGTTCTTGACGCCTTATCGACAACATATGCAATGTGTTTCTTGAATGAAAGCTGCGAATCCAAGATCACACCCAAGTCTTTCACCTGATTCACGCGTTCGATTGTCGAGCCAAGCAGGTCATAGCTAAATATTATCGGTTGTTGTTTTCGTAAGAACGTAATAGCGGAGCATTTAGCTGGGTTCACTACCATTCTGTTTAAACTACACCAACTAGCGATGGCATTCAGCTGATGTTAAAGAAAGTGACAGTCAGCAATGGAGCGGATTCGTAGGAAGGTTTTGAGGTCATCTGCATATGATAACCGAGGAGCTTCGATGACCAGATGCACGTCGTTGAAGTACAGTATAAAAATCAACGGTCCCATGTGGCTTCCCTGAGGTATACCTGAGGTGGCGAAGAAGCTAGCTGATCTGAAATCTCCTATGGCAACCTTTAGTTGGCGACCGGTAAGATATGATCGAAACCAACTCAGAAGATTACCGCATACACCGAGCCTGCCGAGTTTAGCAATCGCAATAGCATGGTTAAAATTTTCGAATGCTGCGGATAGGTCTGAATAAATAACGTCCGTTTGAACCCGATCCGAAATGCTTTCGGTTATATACGATGTGAGACACAGCAGATTGATGGTTGTAGAGTGGCCGACAGTAAACCCATGTTGATCAGCACTCAAATACTGCTTGCAATGGGACAGCAATGGTTCCATAATCACTAGCTCGAATAGCTTCGAAACGGCACTTAACGATGTAATTCCTCGATAGTTATCCACAGCTCGTTTCCTTCCTTTTTTGTGGACGGGAAACATGTTCGCAAATTTCCAGCAAGATGGAAATATGCCACCTGAGAGAGACATTCGGAACAACCGAAGAAGCGGAATTAACAAGCTAGCAATATCTCTCTTCAAAAATACAGATGGAACTCCATCAAGTCCAGGATTGAAGGATGACTTGAGCAGAGTCGCGGCCTTAGATATCATTTCTGCATTAACATCAATTGTACCCAGCGTTTGATCTTTACTGGAACGTTCCTGGCAGCCAGGTTAATATGGTCGTCAGTTAGTATCTCATTAGTGAATACACTGGCAAACTTTTCGGAAAAAAGGTGGCATATAACGGTGGCAGCAACTTCTCCATTGAATTCCATAGACGATGGGAGGCCGGATTCCTTGCGTTGCTCGTTCACGTAGTTCCAAAAGGATTTCGGGTGTAGCTTAAGTTTGCCCTGGATGCCTCGTTGGAAACTCGAAAAAGCATTCACGACTCACTCGCTGGTACATGTAATTCAGCCTCACATAATGTAGTTTCAGAGGAAGCGTGCGATACTTCGTCATCTGGATCAAGGATGTTCTCCCATACCATGCTAGACAATACATGTATGATGCTACCGTGGTCAGCTTTACGGAAGTCATAAGAAACCGTAGCAGGATAGTCGTCGAAATCACGCACGAGTTTGTCCTCAACAGCGACAATTAGAGGAGGGTGCGGAAATTGATGGAGCCCTGTCCTGTGTGCTCACAAAGCAGAGGTCCAAACTGCGACCATTTTCGTTAACTACATGGTTAATTTGAGAAAGCGTCGCTGCGCTGTAGTTGTCGAGAAGGCTAACAGCTCCTGCGTGAAATGTAGAGCTATCAGAATCTGGGTACAGGAATCCGCTATGAGATGGACTCCACGAAACGCCTGGCAGATTGAAGTCACCAAAAATGAATATCTCATCAACTGGAGCAGATAATTGACCCCTGGAAAATGCGAATTGGCAGCAGACCCCGGGCTTTTGGATTGTATCACTTAAGTGGCTTATTATCCGTGAAAATGATCGTATCGCGAGCTTCAATTACGTCTTTGAAGTGTTTAAAGCCAAGATAAACAGCAAGCAGGTCCAAGGTTGAAAACCAATCATAGGTGTTCCTCATGCTTCTTCTCGGGTGATGAAACAATAATCTGGATATCTAGATGCGGCGTTGTGACTTGGAACTCTGTAAACCAAAACGTACTGCCTGTCGCATAATGGGAGACCTCGATTCACTCCATCCAGTCGCGTTGTTTCCCGCCATCAATGTCGTTCTATTTACTACCATCAGAGTTGTGCTGGCCCTGTTCGGTTCGGTAGAGTTCGGTGGTGGGGTCTCCCAACCATCGGCTTCAGGCAAGTATGCATAGTTCACAGTCATTTGACTGATCAGCTTCCGTGTTCCAGTCCAATTCCTCAAGGAACCGATTCCACATTCTTCAAAGATATGCGTCAACCATTATCGTCGCTTGTAGAGACACGTCATCACCGTGTTGTAGCATATGCCGGCTGTTTCCAGTTGAGAAGTACTTAAACTGATAATGTTCAACATCCGCTTTACTGTTCGAATCATCTTAATTCATCTCCGGGACGCACAATAGACCTGTTTCCTCCAGGTCTGCGCGCTGAATTCTGCCAGCGCTCAGCATAGTCGTCCTGGACCTGTGGCAGGATTTTGGATCAGGAGTCTTGCAGCTTGCTTCTACAGACAGTTATAATCAACATATTGACCATTCACTGCCCGAGGTCGATCAGTAATCCGGATTGTGATGATCCCTCTGTAACTCCTAATCATGGGAACCCGGAACGCGCCATAGAAAGCCAATCCTCAGTCCTGCAATCAGCAGCCTTCGTTTGTCATAGTTGTTCCGGATCTGCTTCGGATGTGGAGAGGGGGTCTTCCAACCCACTCTATGACGAGTTTTCAGTCGGACTAGATGATGGCCAGCTATTGCCTGATGTATCTGTGATTTCCAGGGAGAACAATTGATCGATTCCTTGCTGTAAGCTGGACGTCGTGATTTTCTAACAAAACGCCGTTGGAATGAATTCTGATGTTGAAGAGCACCGTCTAGCTGTATCGGATCGTGACTACGTGTAATTGTCCTGTACGAAACGTGGCTTGATTCTCAAACGCTTTCCTGTCAAGTCTTCGGACCTGACTACGAGGTCTTTCGTTGCGATCGGAATCCTTCTTCTTCGCATTTCAAGCTTATTGCATATCGCATATTAGCTTATTGCGTGCTCTCAATTTAGTGTTCTAAATGCACTTCCAAAGTTATTAATTGAGAGCTTTCGATGACTGTACCATTTTTACATTGGTATAATTGTGAGGCAAGTCGAATCATACTTCTTCTATGCCCAGGGAAGTCGAGAAATTTTCCAACCCGAAAAATTCCTAGACCGGACCGGGAATTGAACCCAGCCACCTCCAGCATGGTCTTGCTTTGTAGCTGCGCCTTTACCGACTGAGCTAAGGGAGGCGATCGGAATCCTAACAACAGCCGTAAATCTACTGGTGGAGGTGTCCTTGTAGCTGTCCGCAGCGGGTTGGAGGCAAAGGCCATCGAGAACGATTCATGGAACTATGTGGAGCAGGTTTGGACAGCCATCAGTCTGGGTGATCGCACACTATTTCTATGCGCTCTGATCGAGTCCGCGACAATTAACTCATCGATACTCACTGTCGGTCAGTTTTCACATTTATCGAAAGTGCCACTCCAGTTGACGAGATATTCATTTTGGCGACTTCAATCTGCCAGGCGTTGCGTGGGGTCCATCTCATAGCAAATTTCTCTATCCAGATCCTGATAGCCCTACATTTCACACAGGAGCTATCACACACGCAGGACGTCGTTTGCCGGGTCAGCTAGTTACAAATAAAATGTACATCCAGGAATATAAACTAACTAACCTACAAACCAGATTTCTCGAGAGACGAGGATCCTGATTTTGGATCTTTTTTGAGAAAACTGTATTTATCGAAAAAGTTTTTCGGGAAAACGGTACACATTCGGGAAAACAGTACATTCGGAATTGAACTAAACTTCCCAAAAACAAACATCAGAACCAAAGACCAAAGCACATTATTTCATGGAATCTTACCTGAACCTTCTTCACCAGCGCGGCGACAGCGGTGCGGTCGCGCAGCTGTGGGATACCATACACCTCGGCACGCAAGTTTGCCGTTGCAAAGACGTAGTCAAAATGCAGCGGATTTTCCGCATCGAATGGGATCGCCTCCGGGCAACGCTTGGGACCGGACCAGAAGGGCTGTCCGGTGGAGGTTTGCTGATCCGGCGGGAAGTTGAACAGCAGCTGGCTGATCTGGTTGGAATACTGCTCCTGGAAATGGATCCGAGCCCATTTGACACAGTCCTCGATGCACTTCGGTCTCTCGTCGATCAGTGCCGTCTGCGGAAAAATCAAATTGTAGCACAATTCTCCCAACCTAGCTGCACCGTATTTACCTTAACCGATTCCAATACCTCCAACGGTTGCACACCCGGCAACTTGAGCGTACGATCGATGAATGTCGGATCGGAGACGTACTGAGCGGCGTTGGCGGCCGACTGTTTGAAGATACCTTCGAACATGTCGCGAGCCCACTGCAGGGTGTGCTCGATTGCGTTCGGGAAGTTCTTCAGCGTGCAAATGGGAATCGACTTCTCCGGGGGATCCTGCGACGAGCTGTAGGATTCCGTGAGAAACGGTGCGACGATCTGGAATGATAATTTCAATCGTTGATATTGTGTACGCATTCATTCAAAGTTCAGTTGTACTACACAAAGTAATTGCCACCCAGTATTGGAAAGGGTACCATTTCACCATATGGTAGATTTGCTATTCCTGCCTCGTTAGTTGACAATGGCTCTCAGAGCACGTCCATCATCCCTTGGATAGACAGGAAGTGTCTCGAAAGAAGAAGCAGAAGTCGATCACTCACCTGAATATTACCCATCGTACCGAGTGTACCCGATTCCAGCAGAGGCTTCCGGTAGTACACGCAGCGACGGTCCATATAGATACGGGCATCAATATTATCCAGCGCATTAGCCACACCATCCAACCGTTCGAAGAACTTGTCATCGTAGACCTTTTCCGTTTCGGGACCGACGCGATTTTCATGAGCGGTTACATTGATGTCGGCGTTCATGTACTTGACAGCCTTGGCCGCGACGCTTGCTTTGGGCTGCTGGACGTCATGCGGCCGGAACAGGAACTGACGGTTCAGATTACTCTTCTCGATCAGATCCATATCGGTGACGATGATTTCTCCCTCCTTCTTGGCGGCCACACCCATCATGGCAAAGTTTTTCAACAGTTCACATCCGATTGCACCAGCTCCCACAATAAAGTACTTCAACTTGCCGAGAACATCCTGGAACTTACGTCCAAAGACGGCAATCTGAGCATCATAACGAGATCCAATTGGTTGGCATTCCTCCTCGGGAACGCCACCATCCGGCAAGCATTCAACGGCGTCGAAGCAGAAGTACTGATAGAGCGGCGTAAACTTGCCCGTGCAAGCCTTCATCACTTCCTGCGCGGAAATGCCACCAATGGCTCCATTCATCGGACAGAGATCACCGGCACAGACCTTGGCAAATGTGATCAACATGGTCTCGTTAACTTCTTCAATCTTCAGCTCCTTGGCACGTTCCTTGCACAGTTCCACAAACTCAGTAGCATCGTCCGCATTCCATGGACGTGGCAAACGGCCGTGCTTGTCCTGGTATCGGCTCAGCACAGTGAATGCCAGTTGCGTATTCTGCGGATGGTCCCACTTGGCGTAGTCTGCCATGATGAATTCCGGGGCATTTTCCGCTTCGGCCAGGGGCTTGAAGGTCATCTGCTTGGGCATCTTGACCTGGGTGACGATTCCACCGCGCACGTATGGACTGAACTTGGTGGTGTCGCCCACGCTGAACGTGTACGGTCCCAGGACCTTGATCTTGATAGGATCGGATCCGTTGAGCTCGGTCATACCCTCGATCTGGCGGTTGTGGAAAGATGGAAAGAAGCAGAAAGGGATGTTCATTAGTAGATGTGGAGAGAAATGCAGGTATGTAAAAAATCGATTGCAGTAGATGCAGGTCAGTCACAATAATGTTGGGTGTGTGTGTCGTGGTGAATGAGAAAGTCTTTCCATTGACGATGGATTGAAATAGTGGAATAATACCTAATATATTCATTCTGCAACTGGTTAAAATGGGCTGAACTTCAAACGTTTTTATTTGATATCCTACGAGAATGAGCTTCATACTTGGCTTCATATATGTTTTGCATAGGACATAAATATTCAAGCAATTTCTGAAAAGTTCAGATAACTTCAGTCAGAGAACTTCAAACAAGTAATATTTGGGCAAATACTAGAAAAGCCATGTGTTTCCGTTTCCTTGATCCCCGTTGGGTAAAGTTGGTTTCCATGGTGTAGATACGGTTTGTAAAATCGTGATGTCCTCCGTCGACAACCAACTAGCGATTCTTAACAACGGCTCCCCTACTCGCATCGACCCGGCAATCGACCTGACGTTCTGCTCCGAGTATCCGAGAAACGTAGGTTCACTTGGCGAACGCCTTCGGACACTTTCAACAGTGACCACTTTTCGATAACGGTGTCCTTTCCCGGGTGGTCGTATTCGCGAACCATGCGACAAAAATGGCTCTACGATTAAGCTGGCTTGTCGTTATATGAAAGCATCACACCTGAAAGTATTCGATCAGATGTCGAGTGGGACGTCAACAGCGGTCGTGTTGGACCAAAAGCGGTACCATGGTGGTGCCCCCAAGTAAAGGTGACAATTCGACGGCGAAGAAAATGTTTACGATCCCTGCGACGTCTACAACTTTCCGACCCAGACCAACACGAAGCATTGGCTAGAGATTCCAGGAAGCCAGAGCAGCGGCACGACAGGCAATCGACCACGCGAAAACGAAATCGTAGGAAAACTTCGTTGCGAAAATCTTACCGACTAACACACGACCACCGATTTGTGGAGAACCGTAATGCTTAAGCTAGCAGATGGATTCACGGACAATCCCAAAGAAGTAGCGGAGGAATTAGCGAAATGCTATAGTAGAAGATCAGTAACCTATAAGCTACTCTCCATCTTTCCAGATGGTTGAGACAGCAGCCGAACGAGAATCCATAGATCTCTCATCAAACACCGACGATGTCTACAACATCGATATCACCCTTAACGAACTCCTGTGGGCCCTCGACAAAGAACGAGGTGCCTCGACAGGTCCCGACTTAATTGGGTATCCGTTACTCCAACGTTTGCCACTGTCCGCGAAAATGACGCTTCTTGAGCTTGAGAATCTAGGATGAGGATGTGTTTACCGTTAGCTGGCGGAATGCTGTCGTCGTCCCCATTCCAAAACTGCACTGAGTCCGGACCTGATGCCTTTCATCCAATCTCGCTCACCAGTTGCATGGCGAAGCTGTTCGAGCGGATTCTCAATCGTCGATTGACCACCGAACTAGAGTCAAGTGGACGGCTTGACAAACGTCAGCACGCTTTTTTGCCGAGTTAGAAAGATCGCTGCCAACCCACGATGACCACTGTCTGATAGCCTTCTTGGGTCTTCGAAGGCATACGATAGCACCTGGCGACACGGAGTTCTAAGCACACTAAAATCATGGCGATTACGTGGTCGGATGATGAACATGCTGCAAAGTTTCCTTTCGGAAAGGACGTTCCAAGTGTCCGGGTTCTGTCCTATCCAGTGACTCTATTTTTCGTTGCGATGCAGCCTATCTTTCGGGTAAAACCGAGATGAGTCGACACTCTTTTGTACGCGGACGACATCCTTCTCGTCGTACGAGGGGTAAAAAATAAAGGCCTACATCGCAAACTGCAGGTCGCCGTCAAAGCTGTCGACAAGTGGACGAAAAGCGTTGAATTCACCATATCGGCTACAAAGTCGTACATCGTTTATTGCAGTTCGAATGCACGTCAAGAACCTGGGCGTAACATCGTGATAGACCGAGTATTCATCCCGAAGACAAACCGTTTAAATGTCCCTCGACCGAACTCTGAGCTTCAAACCTCACTGTCAAATGGTGAATAAAGCGTTCGAACCTCCTTCAGATGATCGGTGCCAAACTTTCGCGTGGTGATCGAAAATTGCTACTGCAGATTGTCTCGGTCCTAGTGACGGCAAAATTGAAGCACGGAATTGGAGTAGTTAACCGAGGAGGACCGGTAACCCTGCAGAACCACGCCCCAGCCTACACTAAAATGGTACGGTTTGCTTCCGGAGCCTTCGTCACTAGCCCGATACAATCGATCATGACTGAAGCGCTTCCCGCTGTCGATCAACTTGTGCGGCAGACCGATCGTCCGTGGCACACACGAAAATCATCGATCCTGTGGGACGCCAAAAAATGCACGAGCCGGCGATTCGCCAGAGAAAGTCCGCCCGTTAGTGCAACAACTTCTGTCGACCTGCTTCCAACAATCAACGGTCATCCAAACACGACAGCACTGTATGTGCCGCATTCCATAGTAATGGTTTAGCAGGAAAGTACAGCCTCCCGAAGGAATGTACACTGATAGGCAAAATAAAGTGCCCACCCCATCATTTTTGAAATTTCTCTCATTTATTTGGTTCAAATTCAAATAAACACACCGTAGTCTGTTTCGATGTCTTACCTTTATTATTCTTTTAAAGTTACACCTATGGAATACTGAAAATATAAAGTTTTACTTGAAGTAAAAGAAAATCAATTTGGATTGAAAAAGAAAACAGTGACAAAAAAAAGTGCCCACTTCAAAAATCGGTATGTTTTCGATAAGTTTCCATCGGAAAACCCCTCGATTGTTTTTGTTTTGAAAGTTTGACATGTATTGAAGCAAACGGGTGGAACTGGTGCATTTGTACACGTGATCGCATTTGAATCAGTTGAAAAAAATGGAGGACGTAGTGATTTCGAAAGCAATTCCCGTGTGTATCCGAAAATTGGTTGTTCGTGATGTGCAAAACGGTGAATCGCACCGGTCTGTCGCTAGGAAGTACAATATCAGCAAAACAGCGGTCGGGAAAATTCTGCAGAAAATGAAATCGTTCGGATCAGTGGTGGATCGCCCTGGCAGAGGCAGGATGCGCAAAACGGATGCGAGAACGGACACCAAGATCATGCGTGAAGTGAAGAAGAACCCGAAGGTAACTGTCCGCGAGATCCAGGAGGCTCTTCAGCTAACAGTTTCCAGTCGAACTGTTCGTCGCCGTCTCGTAGCACAGGGGTTGAACAGCAAAGTTGCTCGGAAGCGCCCATTTATCAGCAAGGCAAACAAAGTCAAACGGCTTAAGTTTGCTAAGGAGCATGCTGATAAGCCCCTAGAGTTCTGGAAAACGGTTCTCTGGACGGACGAATCAAAATTCGAACTGTTCAACCGGAAGCGACGGGTTCGTGTGTGGTGTAGATCGGGTGAGGAGCTTCAGGAGCGCCACATACAAGGCACGGTGAAGCATGGAGGAGGAAATGTGATGGTCTGGGGGTGCTTTTCGTGGGGTGGAGTGGGAAGCCTGGTGAAAATCGACGGGATAATGACGGCAGATTCCTACATCGACATCCTGCGGGAAAATCTGGAAGTTTCGCTGATCCAGACGGGCCTTGAGGAGAAATTCGTATTCCAGCAGGACAACGATCCGAAGCATACTGCCAAGAAGACTAAGTCTTTCTTCCGGTCATGTCGAATTAAACCACTGGAATGGCCTCCACAAAGCCCGGACCTCAACCCCATCGAGAATTTGTGGGCGATTCTCGATGCCAGGGTTGACAAAACTGGTGTTACCAATAAAAATAACTATTTTGAAGCCCTGGAGCGCGCCTGGGAAGAACTAGATCCACAGCACCTGAAGAATCTAGTGGAGAGCATGCCGAAGCGCCTGCAGCTGGTCCTGAAGGCCAAAGGAGGACACATTAACTATTAGGCTGGTATTCTTTTACTTTATTTTATGTTTTCTGGAGTTAAAATGCAGTGGGCACTTTTTTTTGTCACTGTTCTTTTTTACACCCATTTTGATTTTTTTTTCTTCGAGTCAGTCTCTTCTTTTTATCTGGTATTCTATAAGTGAAACTTAAAAAGAATATAAAGAATAAGATATAAAAAATACTACAGTGTATTTACTTTAATTTGAACCAAATAAATGAGAGAAATTCAAAAAATGATGGGGTGGGCACTTTATTTTGCCTATCAGTGTAGGCTTTTCTCTGCGGAGGAGTACGCCATTAAGATGACTGTTTCAATTCCGAACATATCGAACGAATTAGTAATTCTTACGGACTCTGCAAGCTGTCTCCAGACCTTACAAGCGGGAACATCTAAGTACCCATGGATTCAGGAAGTGGAGCAAATAGCGCGAAACAAATCCGTCTGGACACTCCGGCATCCACGGAAACAACGAAGCTGATCGGTTGGCAAACATGGCGAGAACACAACTCCCATCGATGTACCAATCCCAGGCGATGATGCGTTGAGAATGGTGATGCAAAGAATACGGCAACGATGGTTCACGTCCAGAGACTCCAAGCTGAGAGAGGTCAAATACGACACAAATGGACGGAACGGGGAAGCACTTTCAACCAGCGTGTGCCAACACGGCTAACCCATACGTTCTTATTGAAGAAGGAAGCCCCGCCCAGTTGTTGTGGAACGGCCTTAGATATGCGACACGTGATTCTGCAGTGTAAAAACTACTAGAGTCAACGACAAGAGAACGACATTATCACAGCAAGCTTACGAGTTTTCTACATCAATCTGGACTGTACCGAAAAATTTAAAGGATGCAGAGAAAAGAAGAAGAAGAAGAAGCCGAAACCTGCTGTAGCGGCAAGAAGGTTAAGTAGTTAACAGAGCAAGGCAGGAAGAATGTGAAGAAGGAAAGCATGTAACAGGATGAAGATCAAAGAAGGTGAACTAAGCTGGAGAAAATTGATACGGTCATGTAATGAAGAACACAAAGCGGATAGCGGATGAAAGAATA